GCAGACTCCTAGGTGTCTCAGACTGCGCTGATGGGGCTGCACTGGGGCTCTGAGTGGTGGGCCATGGAGTAGCATGGACCAAGGGAAGGGGTTCAAGTGAGGTCCCTGGACCCCATATCTGCATGCTCCCCCTCCCAGCACCCCACGTGGTCTGACACTGGCTGCCCTGTTTGCTCTCTGGGAAGGCGTGCTCCAGGCAGCAGGGTGGAGAGTGACAGGGTGTGGTGTGCCTTAGAGACAAGCGGCCACCAGGAGAAAGACGCACAGCTGCAGAGGACCCACCCCCGACCCACCCGGCCTGTCTCTCCATCTGTTTGTCTGTGAAATGGGGCAGTAGGGGCTCACCAGCTATCTTGATGCAGATGGATGCGATGGGACCCAGCCAGGGGCGGCACACCAGCCTCTCCAAGGGAGGGGCAGCCTGAGTGCCAGAGGGATGCAGAGCCAGCATGTCTTCCTGGGTCCTGAATGTTTCTATCACCCAAGAAAACCTTCACAACTCCCTTCCCTGGTCCCCACTGATCCATGACAGTGCATGTTCCAGTGACCTTTGGGACTGGCATCCTGCCGTGGTGGGGCCTCCGACTCCTGGGACTGGCTGTCCTCTGGGTAGACCCTGGTCTCCGAAGCCTGGGCCTGTCTCCTCGGGAGTTGCTTACTCTTCACCTTGCTGGGCTGTTCCTGCCACAAACCACAAAGGCACACCCGGGGCCCATCTGGGGGCTGCTGGTGCTGGGAGGATGGTCTGACCCGGTTAGGTCCTACCGCCGGGTCCTGCACCGTCCGCACAGTTGTCTGAACCCCTGGCTACAGCTACTGCGGTCATACATCTTGCGGAGGGTCTTCCTCTTTTTCTGACCTTCTAGTTTACTAAACGTGACCCCCCTCCTCCAGGGACTGGTCCCTGCTGGTTGACCTGTCCCAGGTATGAGAGACAGAGTCCCGCCATCCCCGCGTGTGAGGGGCTTTCTGGCTGGATTTCACCGAGACAGACTTTGTCGGGCCTGCGTGCAGTGCGCCGTGTTTGTGTCCCAGGCACTAGCACCGTCCAGCGTTCCTGCGGACTTGGGGGCCCGGCCCAGGTGCACCTAAGGCCTCGGCCTGAGGCCCGTGCAGAGGCCGAGATGGCACAGGCTGGAGTGGCTGTCCCGCCCTACCCTGGCTGTCAGTGGAACTTCCTTGGTGTGTGTTGGGGGCTGGGAGGGGCGGACGCTGGCCCTGTGTGTCCTGTGACAATGACAGACTGCTGTCTGGTCTTATAGCCACTGCAACCCCCAGGGCCCCAGACATGCAGCCATCCACCCCGCCCTCCTCAGGAGTTAGGGAGCCCCATCTTGGGGAGTGGTTGCTCCCTCAGTGCCCAGTCTCAGCGGGTGGTGATTGGGGGACAGGTGTTTCTCAGCTGGCCCCTCAGGTCCTGGCTAACACCGCCCCCTAAACTCTCACGTCCTGCCATGGGGTGTGCCTCCCTCCAGAGCATGTGCGGGGCTGCCCCCAACCCTTTGAGGGGCTGGTCCCTATAGTGGACAGGGACTTGTGATGAGCAGATGGTGGCGCAGAGTGCGTTGACAGCAGGAGCCAATTGTGCCAGAGTGGGTAGGGGAGTGCTTCCTACTGGACAGACCTGGGCAGCCAGACAGTAGACACTATGGGGCTCTGGCTGGAGTCAGGCAGGGGCAGGATCACTTCTGAGTTTCTGTCAGGTGGGGTGAGACAGGGTGGGCTCTGGTGAAGGCTGAGGCAGATAAGGACCGCAGTGTGTGCTCTGTAGTGTGGAGGTGTGGGGGTATGATTGGGGGGGGGTGTCAGACAGGGCTGTGATGTGGGGGGAGGGCAGCAGGGCTATGTTGTGGAGGTTTAGGGGTGTAGGTGGGGAGTGTTCTGGAATGGGGGTTCCCGTGAAGCAGGCAACGGGGAGGGGTCTCTTAGGTATGTTCCCCTCTTCTTGTCACCCTGCCTCCCTCGTGCATGCGGAGCTGTGAAGAGCGCATGGCAGTCTTCTCCATTCTTGCCAGGGTGGTTTGTGAAGTAGGAGTGGTTTGGGGCGTCGGACAGGGTTTGTCCTGAGCTCCCCAGGCCACCTAGAGCTGCTGGGGAAGCAGGGGGCGGGTTAGGTGGCAGCAGAGCAGGTGACATTTTGTAGATGACCCAGGCCCCCAGCTTGCCATTGAGGTGTGCAGGGGGGATGAGGGCCAGCGAGTCCAGGCCGCAAGGACATAGCAACAGATTCAGCTCCTGTGGCACCGAGGGCAGCTGGGAGGGCAGTGTGGTCCAGGAGGCCTGGGCCAGGCCCCAGAGGAAGAGTTTCTGGGACAGGGAACAGTGTGCGGGCGTCACGTGTACAAGTGTTGGGCACCTGCTGCCACCCACACACAAGCTGTTCCTGCAGAGCCAGCTCTGTGCTCCCCTGCCTGGACCCCGACAGTCAGACCTGGGGTTGGGATAGCCCACCTCATCATGTCCCATGTCCCCCCATGGCATCCCGGCAGGGGCATGGTCTCTGCTTGCGTCCCTGTGGGCCCTGGTCTGTAGCTGCTGTCCTGCAGGGCAGACAGGTTGTGTGTGTGTGTGTGTGTGTGT